CAGGTTTGGCAGGAGAGTCATCGATAAAAGTCAAACAACGGTCAAAATCAAAATTTTTCTTTTTTCCAAGGCCATTAGTTTAAGTCTGAAAAAAATTTGGCAAAGACTTGTTTTCAAAGGAGCTTCACACAAACCATTCTATTGAGTGATCCCAGAAACTCAGATGTGGGAGAGTAGTTTTCGAGAAAATTCAAAAAGTTAAAAAAACAGTCAGAAAGAACGAAGAATAAAAAGAGCATTTTCTTTTATGCTCTTTTTATATCTCGTTCTAAATCGGATAAAACAAGCAACCTAAATAATATTACACAGAGGTGAAGCAGAGCTTCCCATCAATTGATATACAAAACAAACAAAAAAAAAACAGTCAAAAAAAATTTAGATAATGAAAAAAACTAGGTGAACCAAAATTGACCTTCATGCAGAGCTAAAGCAGGAGGTACTCGTGTAATATTGACTGAGTTTGCTTTACTGATGCGGCATGAAAAGCGTGATTTCTTTGCCTTGGACTTTGCCTTAAAAATAAGCTGTTTCTCTACTAAAATAAGTGAGAAACTTTTTTTGAGATAATCAATTTTCCCAAAAAGATAACATTTCTCTTATAAAAAGTTATGGAATCGCTGCTTCTGCATGAACACTTATCACAGCCCGTTTACCAATGATTTTTTTCATTTCAGATTTGATTGTAAGATTTTAGAAAAAATCAAAAAGTTTCTGAGCGGTCGAAAGTACTAAAAAACGTTCAAAAGACTTGCCAAAATACATAACGTTTTTCTGCAAACCGTTTAAATCCAAAGTCTCAGGTACGGCAGGGTAATTTTTGAGAATGTTGAAAAATTCAAAACGATCAAAAAAATCAAAAAATTGACTTTCCAAAGGCGATAAGATCTTGTGTAAAACTTTTTCAAGTGTCCACTAATGCACAGGAGCTTCCCACTACCCGTTATCTCATTGAACCCACAATATCAGATTTGGCAGAATAGTTTTCGAGAACAGTCTAAATCTTCTAAAAAACGGTCATAAAATCAAAAATTTTACTTTTCCGAGGGCCATAACTAAGCCCTTTCTGAGAATTGAAACCAGAATCTTAGGTAAGGCAGGGTAAAAATCGGTCAAAAAACTTAAAAGTTTGACTTGACTTTTCAGAGGGCGATAATTTCTTGTAAAACTTTTTGTTGTTAGTGTTTTCTAATGCAGAGGAGATTCCCACTAACTGCTGTCTCATTAAACTCACAATATCAGATTTGAGAGGTTAGTTTTCGAGAAAAGTCGAAAAGATCCACGAAACGGTCAAAAATAAGAATTTTGACAATTCCGAGGGCCATAACATAAATTAATCGTAGCCGATTATGCAGGGGAGCTTTTCAAAACAGTTCTGTCCATTGAAACCAAAAACTTAAGTATGAGAGAAAAATTTTTCGAGAAAACGAAAAAAAAATCAAAAATATGGGACAAATATACACTTAAAACAATATTAAAAAATCGCTGGTAGAAAAAAAAACAATTCCAAGATGTCACAACTAAGCCGACAACAGATAAGCAGACAAATAGTAGGCCGATAATCTTTTTAAACAGAATATATCACGTTTGAAAATAAATTAGGTCCTGGTCAGACTCGATCCGAGGACCTTTGGCAGCCCAGGCATATTCGTTACCTCCAGGCTCGGTTGGCCAGGAATGCTGAGAAATTTGAATACATAATGAAACAAGGCAGAGATGAGTCCAGAAGAGTTTTGTGGACAAATTTGCTTACGGAAAAAAGCCTATTACCCGGTTGCAAAACCATTGCTGTCGCAAAAAAACTAGCGCAGACTAACAAATAAATGACTCATTGATTCGGTTACACTAGTTGTTTCACAAACTTGTAAGGAGACATAGCTTGAATCGATGCTAGTTCCAAAAATTTTCGTTAATTAAAGAAGGAACCATCAAGTTGGTTAAAAACGTGGGCTTTTTTCGCTTTTTACTAAGACCATCAAAAACAAAATTAAGCCAGTAATTTTAATTTCCTCGTGATAAATAAAAATATGAAAGGGAAATTTACATTCAAAACTTATTTTTAGCTGCTAAGTAACTAGACATAAGGAGATACACATTAAAACCAGCCCTCCTTTCCTCTGGAAACGTGGACTGGTAGGCTAGAACAGGAGGCGCTTCTGAGGTCACAAGTAAACTTGTCAAGTCACCCAAGCTCTTCGCTGATTTCATCCCAGAAGAAAAAGTCACGTGCTCATTGTTGTTTTGACTCATGGACAAAGACCCATTAATGGTCACAGTTGCATTCACAATCGTATTATTATTTGAAGTAAAAATGGGAGTCGTAGCACCATTGGTCAGATACTGAGCATGTGACACCGGGGGGTTATGGCTAACACAGGAGCTTCCCACTACCGGTTATCTCATTGAATCCACCATATCAGATTTGGCATAATAGTTTTCGGGAACTGTCTAAATCTTCTGAAAAAAACGGCCATAAAATCAAAAATTTTACTTTTCCGAGGGCCATAACTAAGCCCTTTCTGAGAATTGAAACCAAAATCTTAGGTATGGCAGGGTAGTTTTCGAGAATATTCAAAAAAAAATTTAAAAATCGGTCAAAAAACTCAAAAGTTTGACTTTTCAGAGGGCGATAATTTCTTGTAAAATTTTTTCTTGTTAGAGTTCGCTAATGCAGAGGAGATTCCCACTAATTGCTCTCTCATTAAACTCACAATATCAGATTTGAGAGGTGAGTTTTCGAGAAAAGTCGAAAAGATCCACGAAACGGTCAAAAATAAGAATTTTGACAATTCCGAGGGCCATAACATAAATTAATCGTAGCCACTTATGCAGGGAAGCTTTTTAAAACAGTTCTGTCCATTGAAACCAAAAACTTAAGTATGAGAGAAACATTTTTCGAGAAAACGAAAAAAAAATTAAAAATATGGGACAAATATACACTAAGAACAATATTAAAAAATCGCTGGTAGAAAAAAAACAATTGCAAGATGTCACAACTAAGCCGACAACAGATAAGCAGACAAATAAAAGGCCGACAATCTTTTTAAACAGAATATATCACGTTTGAAAATAAATTAGGTCCTGGTCAGACTCGATCCGAGGACCTTTGGCAGGCCAGGCATATTCGTTACCTCCAGGCTCGGTTGGCCAGGAATGCCGAGAAATTTGAATACATAATGAAACAAGGTAGAGATGAGTCCAGACGAGTCTTGTGGACAAATTTGCTTACGGAAAAAAGCCTATTACCCGGTTGCAAAACCATTGCTGTCGCAAAAAACTGGCGCAGACTAACAAATAAATGACTCATTGATTCGGTTACACTAGTTGTTTCACAAATTTGTAAGGAGACATAGCTTGAATCGATGCTAGTTCCAAAAATTTTCGTTAATTAAAGAAGGAACCATCAAGTTGGTTAAAAACGTGGGCTTTTTTCGCTTTTTACTAAGACCATCAAAAACAAAATTAAGCCAGTAATTTTAATTTCCTCGTGATAAATAAAAATATGAAAGGGAAATTTACATTCAAAACTTATTTTTAGCTGCTAAGTAACTAGACATAAGGAGATACACATTAAAACCAGCCCTCCTTTCCTCTGGAAACGTGGACTGGTAGGCTGGAACAGGAGGCGCTTCTGAGGTCACAAGTAAACTTGTCAAGTCACCCAAGCTCTTCGCTGATTTCATCCCAGAAGAAAAAGTCACGTGCTCATTGTTGTTTTGACTCATGGACAAAGACCCATTAATGGTCACAGTTGCATTCACAATCGTATTATTATTTGAAGTAAAAATGGGAGTCGTAGCACCATTGGTCAGATACTGAGCATGTGACACCGGGGGGTTATGGCTATGCACAGGAGCTTCCCACTACCGGTTATCTCATTGAACCCACCATATCAGATTTGGCAGAATAGTTTTCGGGAACAGTCTAAATCTTCTGAAAAAAACGGCCATAAAATCAAAAATTTTACTTTTCCGAGGGCCATAACTAAGCCCTTTCTGAGAATTGAAACCAAAATCTTAGGTATGGCAGGGTAGTTTTCGAGAATATTCAAAAAAATTTTAAAAATCGGTCAAAAACTCAAAAGTTTGACTTTTCAGAGGGCGATAATTTCTTGTAAAATTTTTTCTTGTTAGTGTTCGCTAATGCAGAGGAGAGTCCCACTAACTGCTCTCTCATTAAACTCACAATATCAGATTTGAGAGGTTAGTTTTCGAGAAAAGTCGAAAAAATCCACGAAACGGTCAAAAATAAGAATTTTGACAATTCCGAGGGCCATAACATAAATTAATCGTAGCCACTTATACAGGGGAGCTTTTTAAAACAGTTCTGTCCATTGAAACCAAAATTTTAAGTATGAGAGAAACATTTTTCGAGAAAACGAAAAAAAAAATTAAAAATATGGGACAAATATACACTAAGAACAATATTAAAAAATCGCTGGTAGAAAAAAAAACAATTGCAAGATGTCACAACTAAGCCGACAACAGATAAGCAGACAAATAATAGGCCGACAATCTTTTTAAACAGAATATATCACGTTTGAAAATAAATTAGGTCCTGGTCAGACTCGATCCGAGGACCTTTGGCAGCCCAGGCATATTCGTTACCTCCAGGCTCGGTTGGCCAGGAATGCTGAGAAATTTGAATACATAATGAAACAAGGTAGAGATGAGTCCAGAAGAGTTTTGTGGACAAATTTGCTTACGGAAAAAAGCCTATTACCCGGTTGCAAAACCATTGCTGTCGCAAAAAACTGGCGCAGACTAACAAATAAATGACTCATTGATTCGGTTACACTAGTTGTTTCACAAATTTGTAAGGAGACATAGCTTGAATCGATGCTAGTTCCAAAAAATTTCGTTAATTAAAGAAGGAACCATCAAGTTGGTTAAAAACGTGGGCTTTTTTCGCTTTTTACTAAGACCATCAAAAACAAAATTAAGCCAGTAAATTTAATTTCCTCGGGATAAATAAAACTATGAAAGGAAAATTTACATTCAAAACTACTTTTTAGCTGCTAAGTAACTAGACATAGGGAGATACACATTAAAACCAGCCCTCCTTTCCTCTGGAAACGTGGACTGGTAGGCTGGAACAGGAGGCGCTTCGGAGGTCACAAGTAAACTTGTCAAGTCACCCAAGCTCTTCGCTGATTTCATCCCAGAAGAAAAAGTCACGTGATCATTGTTGTTTTGACTCATGGACAAAGACCCATTAATCGTCACAGTTGCATTCACAATCGTATTATTATTTGAAGTAAAATTGGGAGTCGTAGCACCATTGGTCAGATACTGAGCATGTGACACCGGGGTGTTTTGGTTATGCACATTGTTCGTGGCGGAATTGAGAGGGTTATCGATTCTCGGACTGAGCGATCTTGGTCCCGAAGTGACGGCAGACGAGAAATTATTCTCAGTATTCTTATTCAAACTTTGATTCAGATAAGCGTGGGAGTTGGCTGTACTCTGATTGTGGAAAAATTGAGATGCCGCTGCTGGTATTGCTATTGAGCTGGACATTGAAACAGGGTGCAACTTTTGAGATGCATGAATTGTACTCTGCACAGCATTGTAAGCACCAGTAGACGCATCACTTGAAGACATCGAGCTACCTTGGCCGAATTTCCTGGTGAAGGGCAAATAAGCCGAAAAATTTCCCGATTGATAACTAGAAGTCACCGCATTAACTTGATTCTGATTGAAATGCGCGCTGCCAAAAGCTGACATCTGGTTTACAGGATTAACAGTTTGAATAGGAAAATTATGGTTTCGGGAATCAACATTTCCGTGACTAATTGATGTGCTCTGATTCTTTGTGTGCAAAGAACTATTCAAACAGGAATGATTACTATTTACGCTATTATTTCCATGCAAAGCATAATTATGAGTCAGACCATTTTGGTAAAACATTTGAGGATTCTGAGAATTTGGGTAAACATTAGATGCAACATGCGAATAACCTGTCAAACCATTTGCTTGAATCCCACTCATTTTATTATGCGACAACGGTTCAACTTGAGAGAGTAAACTGCTGGCCGCTTGGGCGTTAAAATTAGAACCCTGTTTTGAATCGTAATTAGAAAAATTCCGAGTCATGAAAATTTGTTCAAGCTCTTTCAAGTCGTTCACGCTTTGAATGGCTGCCACGTCAAACGGCGTCGTGTCCGCTTCAAAATCCGAGTAGTTAATACCTGTACTGCTGACTAAGTTCGTCGACATTGGTCTCGGCTGACTCGTCGCTTCGCTTTCCCGAACTCGCTTGACGTCAGGATGAACAATAACTGTTGAACTATGCGTCGTTGTCGTTGTGCTAAACGGTGGCACAGGAGTTGAAATTGAACGAATTTCGTTATCGCGCTGAACAGTTGCATCAACTCCACTTAACGGTACATTTAGGTTTAATTGCTCGTTTTCTTTGTTTAAAGAAATATTTGTATCTCTATTGAAATTTGGGCTTCTTTCGTTGACGAAATTGTCCGAAAATCTTCCTCTATTTTGGGCAGCTAATAATTTATCTGCTGAATAATTCTCGGCGCTACTTTTCAACGTTGCCTCATCACCAGGGCTTTTGTTCGCTTGTGCGTGTTCGTTCAATTTATTCTGGATATTTTTTAGCATCCCGTTTTTGGAAACAGAGTCGTCTGTTTTTTCACCACTTTCAGAAGAATTCTCAACAGAGCTCTCTGATATATCGCTACTTGCTACTTCAAAATCTGAAGTTTGATTAGGACTGTTGATATGGTGGATTTGGTCGCTCTCTTTGCGTTTTGTTTTGAACTGACTCGATTTCTCCATAAGTTTTTTCTTTGCCATATCGTTGCGAGCTGCTTGATTTTGAGCAGTAAGCCTATCTAGCGTGGTTTGTTGATTAAGCAGGTAATTCTGCTGCTCCTCGCAAATCCTCAAGGCGTCCATTTCACAAGCGTAATCGGGCTGAAAAATTAGACGTAATTGATTTTCAAATTGGAAAAATCTGCGGGTACCAAAAAATAGGGACAAAAAATTTAAAACAAGTAACTATTTTATTGGATAACTTTTCGTTGTATTTTTGACATCATTTTTTCTCCGTTGCCTATGTTTCATAATTAAAGGGGAAAATATTTTAAATAAAACATGTAGTGTCGAAACCTTTCATACACTTACCGGCATCATGAGAGCTTTAGAGCGGTTGATAATTGATGGAATGACATAGGAGTGGTAGTACTGCTCGTACTGTCTCTTCTCAAACAACTCTGTCGCGCCTCCAACTCCTGTGACTTCATCACTTAAAGCACTCTGTTGATGCAGCTCTTGCTGTGAGTCATCTTCCTGATCACGTGCTACAGGAAGCAGGTTCGTGAATGACTGGGAGAGGACGCTGAAGTCCCCGTACTTGTACGCCATCTGTTTCACCAAGTCGCTTCCTAACAACAATACCTTTATGATAAAAAGATGATTTCGGATCTGCACGTGTTATATTATTTACTAGAATTTTAAACTGTTCAAAACTTTAAAGATAAAGTTTAGATTTAAACGTTTAAATTTAACTGATGGCTCAACTGTACCACAAATAATCTCAAATTTTAGTGTTCAAAGAACTCTTAGATTGCATACGGTGGTGTCTTACAATTTAATATCAGCCATTTTAACACGGTACATTTTAATACCTAATCATTTCACTACTACACAATTTAAATCCATTTCACAACATATAACTTAACACCAAAATTAATGCTGCATGAAATCCTTATCTTAAATCCTATCACAACAAAGTAAATCCTGCAATTAACGCACGCGTCACAGTGAAAAATTTGGTTTATCTCAGTTGTTACATGCTGAGATGAGGCTTCCCAAATTACTTTAGACTCGTAATTCATTTTCAATTAGATGTTTCACTAAACCATAATGATTACTAAAAAAAACCTGCTTGTGCTAATTCATAACAATTTGATCTAATAGTTCTGAAAACTATAAAATTCTGACAATCATTTTATGCTGTACTCGTGTGATAAACAAACGCAAACATCAAACCCAAATTATGATTGAGTCTACTTTCGAATTCACAGTTTCATCTGAAAACAAACCAATTCTTACAGCGTCCGGCTAGAAACTTTATCCCGTATAACTGTGGGTCAAATGATTACGAGCGAATCATTTTGTGCGGTGACCCCGAAATGCTGAGAGTTCTGGAAAATTATTCTTTCTGGTTAGCCGATGGAACTGTTAAAATTACTCCCAAAACGTTCTTTCAGCTCGATTCGATTGTATCTGGTATTGCACCAGCTTGTTTATACGCCTTCCTTACCAACAAAACCGAAAACAACCTACGATCGCTTTTTGCAGGCTTTAATTGATATAGCACCCAATTGCGGACCTGAAAAAAAACTGTTAGATTTTTAGCAAGCTGCTTTTCAGTCCTTCCAAAAAAATTCCCTGGAGCGCATTTATCGGGTTGTTTTTCATCTCTCACAGGGTTACATGAGAAAAATCAATGAACTGGATCTGAAGGTCACCTACATAACGAATCACGATTTAGTGCTGGCTTTAAAAATGCTGCCTTCCCTTGCATTCGAAAAACAAGTAAAGATCGGCGAGTCCTATGATATGATCGTTCAGGAAACTCAGAATGTATGTGACAGAAATTGTTTGGAACCCGAAAAAAACGGTGGGTTGTGTCTTTACTTTGGCTCTACTTATACAAAAAGCATGTTGCCAAAAGAAGATGTTGCCAAACCCGGAAGTTTTATTCCCACCCTCCCTTTGGAACCTGCGAGATGAGGCCGAGAGTGGATTGCTAGAACAAAAAATGCAGTTGAAGAATGGCATTTCGGCATCCAATCCTATTTCAGCGGAGACCACCCAAATATGTGGAAAGAAGTGGACAGTCCGCAAAAAAAACGTACTGTTTACCAATGTCATTTAACGAGACAAATCTGATTGGTAGTTTTTCAGAGCGTTATCTAGTTGGTATTAACCAGATTAAAGTTTGTGTTTTTGTTTATTCAATCGTATCATTAAAATTCAAATTGCAAACATACTAAAATTTTTGTTTATTATTTTTAAAAGAGATTTCCTTACAGACTCCTAGAAAACGTAACTTATTGCAAGAGCTTGACTTGTCAACTAGCAATTCAATCCAGGACAATCGCCCTTATTTTCGGGATGCTAGATTGGGACTAGGGGCTGACAAACCAGTTTACGCTTCGCGTTTATGTGCCAGCAATTCAGAAAACTCAACTCAATTGCGGGTCCTTGAAGTTTGTTGAAAAATTGCTCATTTTTGGTTCGAATCGTTATAACAATCCGAATTATTGGCAGGGTCATTTCTTTTCAAAACTTACAAAGATTAAGTAGCGAGAAAATGCCTTGCTTTAAATGGCCAAAACTTTCTTGCTTTATTCTTTGATGTTTACAGAAGTCTTTTCATTTTGGATTGAAACGGTGTTAAGTTGTAGAAATAGTTTTAAAATGTAGTGGTTTTAAATTGTTAAGGCAAAAAAAAGTAGGGAGTGAAATTGTATGGTGTTAAGCTGTTTAGTGTTTAAAAAAAGGTAACCGCATACGTAAGGTTATTGAAAAAAATATCTGGCCAGAAATAACTCTTCTCTATTTGTTGAGTCTAATTCAGTCCGTACAAAAGTTCCTGTTGTCTAAATTATCATTTCCAACAAGCAAACTTAGTCAGAGAACGGTTTCTTCTTTTGAAAACATAAAATATGAGTCAAAGCATCAATTTTTCACGAAATTAAATGTCAGAAAGCCGTATAATCAAACGAGTTGTAGTTAGATTGTGAGAAACTGAGGTTCGTAGGGAAATTTCATCACCTGAACTCTACCTAGGAAATCTGGTCAAAACGTGGCAATTAGATTGTGACCCCGGGATTGATATCTTCTGTCCCTGGCTTTTTAGATTGACAATTTCCTAATACTGTTTCCGATAAAAAAATTATTTAACCTGCTCTCAATGCGGGTATTATGAAGCTGAAACAAAAAAATAAGGCGTAGTTCTCTGCTGCCGTTGCACCAGCTTAACCAAGAGAAGCAAGGGCTCGGTCATATAGCGTGTCTTCTCTTCCTTAATAATTCAGGTTAGCGCTGAAACCCTCTATTTATATCATTGATCTTTACGATCAGCTATTTATATACAAAGTTAAGTAAATTTTTCAAAAACAGTCTATACAAATTTCAATCGGTTATTTATACATCGAACGTCTTAGATCTTAGCTACCTATTTGTGTGCGAGGAACTTATGTTAGGTTGTATACTCCAGTCACTAAAAATTTACTGGAAAAAATTAGAACATCTAACTTTTATTAAGTAAAAAGCCAAAAAACAGTTATCAACTTGGTTGAGCGAGTTTGGATAAAATTACGAAGTTAAGACCAGTCTCAAATGAAGCTAGATTAATTCAAAAACCCCTTTGTCTATTTCTGATTCATCAAGTTTTTGTTTCATCGCATAAATTTTTCATCTTCTTGTTTTAGGGAACGAATACAGTTGTCTTGGTTACATGTCAGTATTTAGACAGCCGCGTATTCATACTGGTCAGTATTTAGACAAATACTGTTTCAACCAATCAGAATCGAGACAAAGAAGAAATTAATAAATAATTATTATTTATTTTGGATTATTTGTTTTTTCTCGATTCTGATTGGTTGAAACAGTATTTGTCTAAATAATGACCAGTATGAATGCGCGGCTGTCTAAATACTGGCTGCACTCCAGTTGTCTTTTATTGACTTTATACTTTAAAAATCAATTATTTAATAACTCTATGATTTGCAGGCGTTCGTATATTCAGTGTCCTTTGTTAGGCTTCTCAAGGACTAGTTGCTTATTGTCTGCTTTTCAAGGCAGGAAAATTTATACAGACAGCCTATTCAACTACACACTTTCTTTTGTCATCCGGTTAATACCTATTAATATAACCATTTATATTAAAAAAGTAGTATTTAAAAACAATGAACTATCACCATTCGACTTTTCGTGGAATAAATTGAAAACATTTACCAAGGCACCTTCGAGTTTGCGCAAACTTCCACATCCCGACGAACGATTCAAAAATTTCAAGACCTTTGAGGTTCACTGGTGATGAGATCAAAAAAAATCACTCAAAAGCAATGAGGCCGTTAAAATGTCAGTAATAAAATGGTTACTCAAGGATGTCTCGATCAAAGCAACCACTGCAAAAAAAAAACAAATAAGCATGTTCATAATCAACAACTTAACAGCCTAATTAGCAAAAAAAGTTTCAGTTTCTTCTATGTACTTCATTGCACAAGCTCTTGTCTAATTGCCGCTACTCAAAAACGGGTCTAGGACAACAAGCCGACGGGACTTCAAGCCGAAGGGACTTCAGGCCGAAAATTAAACTTTACAAGCACCTCAAAACACTATTTTTTCATCTGTAAAACGTTTCTTTTCAAAATCCTAGGCTAGTTCAGTCCATAACAAGCGTTATTTATGACAATGCACTACTTTGGATTGGCATTAGTTAATAATATCAGCCGTTTTTTGAAATGCATAAATTATAAACAAGAAAATTACCTTCAACCGTGTTTTATTTTTCAACTTTCCTTAACTTCATTTGGAGATTTAAATTTCGTGAAAACGCTAATAATCAGGGGTGTAAAAAAGATTATTGTGAATCCGATAATCGCCGATAAGATATATCGATAAAATCTATCGTTCGAAAAAAAATTATCGAGATAATTATCGATTGAAAAAAATTATCGTTCCGATAACTTTTATAGTCAAATTTTACCGAAATCTAGCAATTTAACTGAAATATTTCGCTTCCAGTTGTGGAAATCGAATAATAGGTTAGTGAACTTTACTGCATCAGACAGTGTTTGTTTATTGTCTGGAGCGGGAAAGCGTGTCTTCAAAGTTCAAAGTAAGCAAATAAACCTGGAACTGACACTTCCGCTTCACTGGCTTGACAAACGCCAGGACAGTCTTGCGAAAAATCAAACTGCGAAATGGCTGGTTCCAATAAAGAAATTTGCCATTTTTATTTTACAAAAGTTTCCGAAACTGGTTTCAAATGCGTTTGTGGAATTGAGCGAATTAAACCGAAAGGCGCTGGTTGGCAAAATTTAATGAATCATGTTCAAGTTAAACACCCGAATTACCAACAAGAAATGTCAGGCCAGATTTCAAATTTGGATGATTTCATTATTTCTGCCAACGCAAAGAAATACTACGGCTGGCTCGAATGGATAATCATGAATGGTTTTCCATTTTCTTTTGTTGAAAATGAGTACAATATTAAATACTCAAATTTACCAAAAATCTCGAGACCTACTTTCATGAAGTACCTTGATTTACTTACGAAAGACGTGGAAACGCGTATTGCCAAAGAGTTACCCAAAACTTTTGGGCTTATTTTGGACGGTTGGACAGATTCTTCAACTTCGACACACTACATGGGTGTTTATGCTCATTATCCGGACCCAGAAAACAAAGATATCGGCAAATGTGTACTTCTGGCTTTTGCTCCTTTAGTGGACGAAACTGATTATGGAGCTGAATCGCAGATAGAGTTTATTCGTGTTACATTGTCAATTTTCGAAAAAAACGTGGACGATGTTATTTTCCTAATTGGGGATAATGTGAGTACCAATGTCAAAATTGCACGTTTGCTTGGTGTTCCGCTCATCGGTTGTGCATCCCACAGGTTGAACTTGGCAACTCAAAAGTTCCTTTCTGAACATGACGATTTATTGGGGAAAATTAACGACCTTATGAAAAAATTGAGCACTCTTAAAAAAGCAGCCGACTTACGCACAAAAACTCCTTTGCGACCAGTTTTACGCAATGTTACAAGATGGTCTTCAACTTTCGCTATGATCGGACGTTATTTCGAATTGGAGACGTTTATTAGTAAAGAAGATCCTGATTTAGTAAATTTTTTACCATCAGCTAGTGACCATCTGCGTCTCCGCAAGTTATTTGAGGAGCTGAAAAAGTTCGAATCGATATCCAAAAAACTCCAAGAAGAAACCACGAATATTGCAGAAATGCGAATTCTGTTCGACTCTATTCTCGTTGATTATTCTTATCTGGACCATTATTTGGGATATGGGGACGGTACGCTCACCCACGCTTCTGATTTTGAAGTTGGGATTGCCAATTATTTGCAGGGAAAAGCAACATCAAAAGAGCAGGACGAAGCAATATCAGTTTTATCCACAACAGCCGCCACACCATTAGTGGACAACTTAACTCCCGCTGAAAAAATTCTTGCAGAAGCGAAGAAGCAAAAGGTTTTATGTCCCAGTTGGATTGCGTGCACGTCCAACATCGTGGAACGACTATTTAGTCGCGCTCGTTATGTCTTCACAGACTACCGAAAACGAACAACACCTGTGAACCTTGAGAGTCAGCTGTTCCTGTTTTCCAATAAATCATTTTGGAATGTTACTTCATTTTCAAAAATTGTGAATTAAAAAGTTCAGCTGCAGTTTTTTTTCGAGCGATAATTTTCGATATATCGATATATCTATCTTTAAAAAGTATGACAAAACGATAATCTATCGAATGACTCCGATAATATCTATATCAATAATTTTACAACCCTGCTAATAATTACCGAATAAAGATCATGAAATTGAGAAATTCTTAAGAAAAGTTTTCAAATTAACCTTATTTCATGACTTAATGAGAAAATTTTCGGCTTGAAGTCCCTAATTTTACGATTCGGCTTCAAGTCCCGTCGGCTTGATGTCCGGCACCCCTCAAAAACTGGTCTCGTCTAAAAAGCAAAAAAAATCGAACTGACTTATTTTCGCATTTATTGTCTACCTTATTTGACAATTAATTGTGGCAACTGAATCTGCATAGAAAAACACCAGAGTGCAAAGTTCCTTCCCACTTTCAGTATTCCGAAAAAAGCCAGAAAGGTTGAAGACATTCAAGAATGGAAGACATTCAAGCGCATCCCCTCAAATTTGAATCACTGACAACACCCAGATTCGATCACCCAAAATCTTGCGTTGAAAGTCTTCTGCTCAGTACCATTATATACTAGCTTCCCAAAAATTGCACTTTAGAACAAAAAAATTAAACAGAGACGAAGCTGGGCCTCGCAAAACTTCCAATACAAATCCAGAAAGCCGCTAAGTCGGAAAAAAAAAACAAAAAAAAACGAAAACGCCGGAAAAACTAAACCTATCAAAATGAATCAGGCTAGTTTTGAAAAAAATACATTCCAGTAAAGAAGAAAATAAATTCCAGAATAGAAAGTTAACAAATCCCCTTCCCCTCAAAATACACACAAGCACATCCAAAAGTTTTTCGCTCGTCAAAGACGCAAAATGAGGCCATTAAGCCGATATAATTTGGGCCCGAAACCTATCAAGTCGAGAAAAAGAAAAAAACAATAAAAAAGCCAAAAAATGTTGCCATAAAAAACTTTTCGTGCAATCCAGTGAGCATGAAAACTATGTTTGCTTTAAAACTACCCAAAATAAGATCAATAAGCCGATAAAATATGAGCCGAAATCATTTAAGTAGTATATAGTATGGTAGAATAAAGTTTTAAAGCCAAAAATATATATATACATAAATAAATATATACAAAATTACAAACAGCAGGAGTAAATCAAAACACTACGAGCAACTACAGCGTGAAAAGCGTACAACAAAGAGAAACAATTTTACGATGTGGCAACTAAGCCGACAAAACATGAGCATACAAATCATAAGTAGACATTTTTCTTGAAACGGAATATTTCGTTTGAAAACAAACCTGGTCCAGTCCATTTTGAACCCAGGACCATTGCCTTCCCAGGCATAATCATTAAATCCAGGCCAAGTGTACCGGAGACGTAAAAAAACTCGAATTCAATATGAGCTGAACCTAAATTTACCATTTCATATGAGCTGAACCTAAATTTACCATTTCGAATTTTGACCATTCTCTGAACAAAATTATTTACGGAAAAAAAGCACCCAATTGCAAGAGTAAGAAATAAGCGAAGCAAGCTCAGCTGCCAATTATTGTTGGATCAAATGAATGAGCGAATATAGCAGGTTCTGGATTCCGCAAATGTAAGCGGATTCCGCAAAATTGTAAGCGGATTTCCCAACTTTGTTTATTACACTGAGGTAAACACGTTCTCTCATGAGAAATTAAGAGTTTGGCCTCGTAATGATTTCATTTCAAAAAAAAATAATATTGAGCACCATATTTCAATACAGAGGCGTAGCTGAGCTTCGCACGATTTCCGATACAAAACAAGAAAGCAGCTAAGTCGAAAAAACCAAAAAAATGTAAAAGGCCAAAAAACTAGATCTATCAAAATGAATAGCTAGTTTTGAAAAAAAGTGTTCAAAGACAAAATAAAATGAAACTAGCATCGAAAAAATATATCAATCGTTAACAAAGACGAAAATACCTTAACAGAAACCCTTTAAGCCGAAAAAAAATCAGAGCTTATAAAAATTTATTAAGTCCCCCTTGCCCTCAAAACACGCTCACACAAAAACTTTATTCGCTCGTCGAATGAAAAAAAATGAGGCCACTAAGCCGTTATAATATAGGTAGAAACCTATTAAGCCGGAAAAAATAGGTAAATAAAACAAAAAACTGAAAGTCCTGTGAGGCTGTGAACAAAGTTATTTGCGGGAAAAAAGTCTAGTACCCGATTGCAATAACCTCGCTCATCGCAAGGGTAAATAGCATAAAACAATGTTCATTTTTCTGAACATTGTTTTATGCTATTTACCCTTGCGATGAGACTTTTAATATAGAAAAAAATCAGAGCTTATAAAAATTTATTAAGTCCCCCTTGCCCTCAAAACACGCTCACACAAAAACTTTATTCGCTCGTCGAATGAAAAAAAATGAGGCCACTAAGCCGTTATAATATAGGTAGAAACCTATTAAGCCGGAAAAAATAGGTAAATAAAACAAAAAACTGAAAGTCCTGTGAGGCTGTGAACAAAGTTATTTGCGGGAAAAAAGTCTAGTACCCGATTGCAATAACCTCGCTCATCGCAAGGGTAAATAGCATAAAACAATGTTCAGAGTACAAATTCAACAAAAATACTGCAAACTTTGGCTCATTAAAGTACGGGTTAAAAAGTACAAAACACTCAAATTCATTCATTATGAGTAATTAGTTTTGTTACCGTAGTATGACGAGTTCTGTGATGACATCTTCCAAGGTGTGTTAAGTCACTCTATTCTTGTGAAATCATATAGAGCACTGCTTTGGATGCCCAATGCATCAGCTAAATATGATTATGTCGCTTGTTTTTGTAGCCAATTTGATCGAGTTCCCATCAGATGTCGTCTGAATTACATCTGGCCTGCCTAGTATTGAAATAGTCAGAAAGATATCAATCAGTCAAATGACATGTAATCAAACCAGGGCTCAAGTTAAAGAGATACCAACGACGTATCTGAAAAGTCCAGAAACATTTATAAATGCCTAGCAATTTTAGGTTGCTGATTAGTAAATTGATGTAACAAAATCCAAACAGGGACAGCGCCGTTCAAGTTAACCAAAACTGCATAATTCTACGGCCATTTTGCGTAATAACATGGCCTCGAGGCTTATTTATTACACAAAAGTGAGCACAAACTTGAACAGATACAAAATTGTTGATTCACCGAATCTACAAATCTTCGAAATTTTTAGCCAACCAGCCCGAGGGCCGAACCGAGAAGTGAAAAATTTAGGTTGACATGAGCGCATATATTCAGCGCCCTTTAAACTATGACTTACTTGCAAGAGCTCACCTTGCAAAATGCAGCGCAAGTGCGATTTGAACCAGCAATCATATGATTGCTGGGCACCATCATTACCAGAGCGCTACAATGCCAATGCCGACATGTACGATCTATTGAATTAATTAAAATTCGTCTTAGTGTACACTCTTAACTTCAGCTTAATCAAACCAAATGCGAGAAATAGGCTTTATTAGCAGCTTTAGTTATCAAAATAAACAATAACAACCGTAACAACAGACGGTAAGAAATAAACTATCAATCAAGACGACTCAACAGAAGCTGTTGAAAATTTGAGAAATATTAGTCTTGGCGTGATGAGAAATATTCTCGTATACCAGCACGTAAGGCTCGGCCTTTGCTACTGACTGTTCACTTGCTCGTGTAATATGATCGTCGTCAAAATGATACCACTCATCTTCTCTTTTTTCCGCCAAATTATCCTCAATTCCACCATGCTCCGTTTCTTCGTTTGAGTTATCGTCAATGTTCGAACTAACTCGGACATAGCACGTGTAGTGACCTTTGACCTGTAGCCTGCCATGATGCTGGACCAAAGAGTGCAATCTGTAGCGATATTTCGACGAATATGATTGGATGTCAGTCTGACCAATAGCAGCGAAGGATGACAAGTCCAACTCATCTAGTGGAAACTCAACAGCAGTCGACAACTTTGCCAGATTTTGGAATTCTGCCGCTCGTTTGAAATGTATGAACAAATAACTCGGTAGATTCCAGCAGTACGAGTACTTGATTGAGTCACATTTTTCCTTACAATTATCACAGCTCCTTTCCGAGACTCGAATCGGCGCAAAATGTGAGTTGAAACACTGTTGTAAAGTCGCCCTTCGACAATCAATGACTGAATTTGATCCTGCATTACGAAGCATCTCTTTGACAACGGCCCAATTACGGCTATTGTGCTCTAGTTGAATCTGATTCGAAGGCGGCTTCTTCTGTTGCGTAGTAGAATTGCTGCATATGTATAATGTCAGCAGAGGTATTTCACTTGAACATTTCATCATTTCGACAAAGTCAGTCCAACCCGTCTCGTCTAAATCATGTAACGAGATTTCTCGAACTTCGGATCTTCCGTCGAAGAAGTTCGGAAACCGATTCACATCTTCCTGATCGAAATGTTTCTCCTCGAAAGTAGCTATAATGTCAACTTTTAAATCCCCGTTCAACAGTTTTCGTTTACTTGAATGAACGGAACACTTATTAGATTTGGTTTCTCTGCAACTAAAAACTTGACCTGATTCGTTGAAGTCTTCGATTGAGAACCAAATGTCTTCTACACTATTTAAATCTTCAATCAAAGCATCACCACTTGTGCATTGAACGTCTTCAAACAATTCTGTTTCCAAAGTTTCATTCCCAAATCCGTTTGTCAAGTGAACGTCATTGTTGTTTGACTCGTGTAACGATACTTGTGACCCTGTAAATTCCAGAAATCTCTGAGACATTTTAAGGCAATTTTCCTCAAAAAAATCCCAGTTCAAATCATCGAGTTCTATATCCAGTGGGAAAACCAGTTGAATCCCAATGTCTGTAAACTTGGACGAATCAGTTTCTAACTGTTGTTGTTTGTGTTGACATTTGCCCTTATGGAGAGGCCAGTCGTTTTTCTGACAAGCAGAATTACAGTACGCTACTGTTCTACAAATGGAACACTTTTTCAGAGAATCTGACTGATTAAAGCAATGCGCACAAATTGATACCAACGGTGCCAGTAAACTACTTTCTACTTTCAAATCAACATAAAAATGGTCGGCCATGCTCGGCGTTTCAAAGGCGACCAGTTTTAATTGAGGAACAATTTTGGCAGTCCAATCTAGCTCATACAACGACTCAAAATCTTTCGAAATATGGCAAAGCATTATGTCGTGGATTTGTATTTTGAACATCAGCGAGAGCTGGCAGATTACAGTTTCGACTGTTATGTAAGTACCGTCGTCGCATTTACAAGCAACCTCAATACACTGTATAGTTGAAGATGGCTCCTTTCGGAAAAAGTAAACTTGGACCACTTTTTGCGGTAAGGCGACTGAAAACATTATACTCGGTTCGGAGGAGTAACTGTTATGTTGGCACTTAATACAAGTGAAAATTGAGCACTCCGTGCCATAGAATAACTGCTTCACAATCGATCCTTTGCTTTCACTGAAGGCGTTCCAGTTTTTTTCTACTACCGACCTTAGTGGGTTCACAGTCGGTATGTAAAACATGAACTGGTGGTTCGGCATACAGTTTAACTCTTCGTCTAACTTATCCAGCACGCTTAGGAGGAACTCAAATGAGTCGTGGTGTATGTAACCGATAGTGAAATAATCAGAGCCCATTACTTTCAGCATTTTCTGCAAATTAACTAACTCGTTTCGTTCATCGGCTAGTTTGGCAAACATTTCAGCAAGAACGCTGGAGACATTTGGATCTCTTTTGGGTGATATGTGTTGTTTGAATATATTAGCCAAGAAGTAGATTCTAAAAGGCTCGATATGGAAGCACACTTGCACACAGACATTAGCGAAGCAGTAGTTAGAGGGGTTGAATAGACCAACTAACTTTTTACGTCTCCTGTTGGACCGTACTAGAGATGGATAAGACTGAGATGATGATGATGAAGACGAGGGTCCGGAAAACAATTTCGCCATATTGCATATCTGGATTTTAAAAAAATCAGGTTTTGTCGTTCAGTTAATTTGCATTCAAAAACACAGTACATCCGTCTTCTGTGCATAACCGACTTCGCTAACAATTGTAGTACAAAAAACTTGATTATGACAGAGGATAACAATCAATTGTAACCAAATGGAATACCTTCGGAAATAGAATAAACATAGCCAATAGACAAATGAAAAAAGGTCAATAAATTCAAAAAAAAACGAAAAAAATGAAGAGTTTTTTCTCGACATTTTGAATTCCAAAGAAATCATAGATGGCATTAAGAGCTAGAAATTTAATTTATGATTGACACTTTTTTTGATCTAATTGACCAATATTGAGAAAACTGGATTAATAGTTGAACTTTTTATTCCGCTGGGAAATCTGATAAAATCTACTTTCCAAACTAGAAGCGCATCAGTTATTTTCGCGTTATTTCCTTTTGTTAACATGAAGAGTGCAAATTAGAATTGAACTAAAAAAGAAACCAAAAGTCAAACGGCAGAAGATCAAATTAGGTCTGAACAAATTTTCAACAACTTTTCCTGAAAAAAATCGAAAAACTCGACCTATACAATTGTCTTCACTAAACTCATCGACAATAAAAATGAGCAATCACAAGAATATGCAACAATAATGTATTATGTACACAGAGCAAAGTGGAGCTTCTCACCACTTGCGATGCAGAAAATAGACAGTAAAAAAATCAAAAACGAGGAAAAACCTTTGCACAATGCAGGGAATGATAAAGTATTGGCAAATTCTGTTTCACGACTTTTTTCAAATCATTTGTCGCTTGAAAAAATATAAAAACCACGCCAACTTGATTTTGAAGTTCATGTTACAGGAAAAAGAAAAAAGATAAAATGAACACTAAACAAAAAACATTATAATGAAAAAATATGGATGCCGTAAGCAATTAACTATGAGCACGGAAGACAAAAGAATATTAGCTGGGCTCAAAAATACTTCGACGCACTTTTTCGTATAAAACACAGAAGATAACATATCTATTTTTAAAGCATCGAAAAAAGCAGATATGATGCTATCAATCTAGATTGAAAAATAGCGCAAAACAACAAAAGATGGCATTTCAAACTAAAATATTTTCTCGAAAGTATGGATTGAAAATTATTTTAAGAATGACAATAATTTCAGGATTGCTAAACCCCAACCTATTATTGCGAACAGTTATCGGCTTTTGAATAAAACTGCAAACAATATAAAATGAAGGACTGGAAAAAAAATTTAAAACGATAGATAATTGAGCGGACAGAAGTGAAGCCGACACCATGTTAGCCGACCGAAAAGACACCAAAAAATTTTCGGCAATAAAACATCTACCGTCTCAGAAACCGTACAATTTTCAACTTGCAAAGCACCTAGACACACACACTAGAGTAAATAGTTATCAATTTCTTATTCGGAAATCATACCGACAGAGATTCCGCCAAAAATCAAGACAACGAAAAAAAGAACGAAAAACACAAGAACCTACCAGGAATCAAATTCGAGAGCTTTGGACTATCAAGCAGAAGCTTAACCTCGACACTAAAAATCCAGCTCCGAAATCAATTGGCGTTTCATAATGAAACAAGATCAATTTCTTACAGATTGATAAAAAATGTGCGTGAAAAGTCTAATTCCCACTGACAAGACAACTTGTTATCGGATTCGTTAGCACAAGTTGAATGGCTGTATATATTGTAATATTTCAAAGCTAAATGATATGACTGTCGCACTTTCGTACAGTTTTAAAAAAAAATCGTATCAAAAACATCCAAATATTATTTTATATTTTCCAAGATATTCATGAGAAAACGTTTCCGCAATACTTCTGTACTACTACGCTAACCTACTCTGAACTGATTAAAGGCTAATTCAAGGCTTTCAATTTCATATGGTTTTATGACACAATTTAAGTACGAGAGCAATATAACAATCTCCACTTTGCAAATTTACATCATTTATTAACACTTCAAGCTCATGATCAACAGCAGCAATGAATCCGAGACACCTTAACGTGATGCACAAAACAGGATGGTGAGGTCGGCGACACAAATTAGTCTCCGTGTTCGCCAACAGTTCTGACGTCATCAATCTTCAGAATCAGTCTGACTACCTGGGCGGCCAGAGTGATCTGCTGTTTCTTCGCGATCAGAGTCTCAATCACGTATTGCGCCTTCATATCGTTTGTCCCTTTGTTCATGCAGTCGATTCCCAGGTTGGAATTCTTCTCCAGAACATGTCGAGATTTTATATCGGCCACCGTTTTGATCGGGTGGAACCCGCTGTTCTCTGCCAGGGCCATCGGAACAGTTTCAAGGGCGTCACTGAAAGACCTAAGAGCGTACTGTTCAATCGAAGCAACAGATTGCGCTCTGTTTGCTACTGCAATCGAACAAGCAATTTCAGCTGCTCCTCCGCCATAGACAATTCGGTTGTCTTTTACAAGGTTTCTTACAACACACAGAGCATCATGCATGCTTCGTTTAGCTTCTTCGATTATCATCTTGTTTCCGCCTCGCAGGAAGATCGTTACGGCACGCGAATTGGCGCACTTTTCAATGACCAACATCTTTTCTTTGGTAGTTCCGAACGACAGTTCTCTTACTACACCAGCTGATCCCAGTTTTTCCGGTGTCAGCTCTGAGAATCGAGGCACAATCCGACCTCCCGTTGCAATGGCAATTAACTCGATCTCTGGTCCTCCTACCCAGCGAACTGCTGGAAGCTGGTTAGCAAGCAATAAGTGATTCGCTTCGTCGTCGAAACCCCATTGACAAAGTGCAAGGGTCGCTCCGGTGTCCTTGACTTGTTTGATCATAGTCTCAAACGTCTCCTTCTCGTAATCCTGAAGTTTCTTGTAGTCTTCGACAGTTTTCACATCTAGCTTGTGAGTAGTTTTTGGTTTCGGAGGTTCAAATGGACACGTCAAAATGGCTAGTTTGACATCTTTCAACTCTTTTGGCATCTGGGGGTGTGAGAAGTCTTTGTCAACAAGGACGCCTTTAACTAGCATGCTATCTTCCAGCTTTCCTCCCACTTTGCTTTCTACTTTGATTAGTTCGAAATCAACATCTTTACGCTCAAAGTCGGCGACACTCATAACTGCATCTACGGCAATGCTGGCCATTTGCTTATGACAGCGGTTGATAATTTTGGATCCCAGGGTTGTCATTGCAGTTTTTACCAGAATCTCAGTGTTGTCGACACTCACTGGAAACTCATCGGCAATTCGATCCAACTCATCGCAAGCTATCTTAGCCGCAGTTTCGTATCCATCGGCAATACGGATTGGATGGATTCCGCGGTCAATGAGATGTTCGGCTTGCTCGAGTAAAGCCCCGGCCAGGACCACAACTCCGGTAGTTCCATCGCCAATTTCGTCGTCTTGAGATTTTGAAAGTTCAACTAGGAGTCTGGCAACGTGGTGGTTGACGTCCATCTTGTCCAAAATTGTTGCTCCATCATTTGTGATTGTCACATCGCCATCAGGGCTGACCATGAGTTTGTCCAGTCCTCTGGGTCCGAGAGACGTCCGCAGGGTTCCCGCTACGCTCTTAGCGGCCAGAATGTGTGACTTGATAGCATCGACTCCGGTTAATCTAGCCTGCTTCTCTTGGTCTTTGATGATGATGAACGGACGTCCATACTCATCAAACGCGAGAGATCCGAAACCTTCGTTCATACTGACCTTTAAAATCAAATTATTTTGACAAACAAAGTCATGTAAATCCAGAAGATCATTTGAAACTTAACTAATTCTAACCAGGCTGGAAAAGTTTTCAGAGGAGTATTGTCTTTTTTTCACCGCGAAAGTCTGACAATAACGTCAAATTGAGCAAAACAAGTTTTTCACTAAATTTTGATATCGCTGAGCAACAAGTTTTGATGTTCGCTTTTCACTAAATTTTGATATCGCTTTTCCGCGAATACAGATTCCGAACAAAATAAACCACTTTCGCAACCTACAATGGATATAAGTCACCTGAGTACCAAGAGGGATCCCAAACACACCGGCCAGTTTCACTTACAGCCGGTCAATACTCAGCCGCGTATACACAGTCGAAAAAAAAATTGAGAATAGCGATACCCATGTGAAGACGAATGACAACACTTAAAGCATAAAAGTTAATATTCAACAAGATAAAAAACATCCCAGCAACTATATGAAAGCAGCACGGCGTTTTTCTTCACATAAAAAACTCATTTAGAAAAAACTAGCTAAAAAATAAACTCTAAGTATGAAAAAACTCTGGCGCAAACAAAATAAGAAAAAGGGGAGCGATAACCAGTAATAATAAGCGCCCTAGGAAAATATTTACAAATACGATCAACTAGAAAAACTTCAACAACAACTTCGAAACCTCAGAGCAAAATTTTTGCGGTTATTAATGCGTTAGCAACATTTTGCGCCTAAAGAAACAAGCATTAGAAAGAGAAAATAGGAAATCCATAAAAGTAAAAAAAGATATTAAACAAAAACATGCCTCGGAAGGCAATCAACTTCAAAAGTCAAAGCCAGCTCAAGCTCATACTACGGGTATGGACTCGGAGCTCCCAGCAAGAGTGACTAGACTTAACCCCGCAGGCAGGGCGTGTTGGGGTAATCCATTTCACGCATACTTCATTCTGTGATAACAGGCTGCAAACATAAGCTTTAACCAAGACGGAATATCCGGATTGTTGCAGTTAAAATAACGCATAACGTTTTCAAACACTTCACCGCGTCGGTTTACCAGGACTAGACAACTGGTTTATCTGATTGGTTTAAAAATTGTTTTGTTGAACTGATCGAATATATAACCAACTAACCAAACCAATTGATATTAAAACAGACCTTACACTGATGTGTTATAACAGATATTTCTGAACAAAAAAATATGTAATACCAAATTCTTGGCAATATTCTTTTCGGTCAACGAATCTGAACGAAGTTAGTTAACCTAAAACAGCTCATTTCGACGTCGGATTTTAGCTTCTCGCTGATTTCCACATGTAAAAACTATTTCCAAATAATATATCCAAAGATATATTACCCGAACTGGTCTAATGGTTAATTCTGGTTCCTGACTTCGTGCGGAAAACAAAAAATAACAAATTTGAAGAAAAAAAACGAAGCATCATTGGCAAATCGGATAAAAAATTTACACAGAGGTGAAGCGACGCTTTGCAATATTTGCGATACAAAGAAAAAATGGGATTGCAAACGAGCGAACAGAAAATGAGAGGAACTTACTAAGTCAAAAATATACATAAAACTAAATCTACAAAAAATTAATACATTTGTCTCGGATAATATCAATTTCGGGATGAAAAACATGCGAGACTCAACATCTAAGAGCAAATTGAAAATTCTTTATTTTCAAGCAAAAAAGAGATAAACAAAAGCACAGTTTTGAAAACATCAAGCATTTTTTCTGTTAACGCTTCCTAATCGCAGCGTAACAAAGATAGTCATGTGAAAGGAGCACAGGATGTTCCGAAGCTTTCAAATAAAAATTACAATTAAAGTTCTTCAAATGAATAAGTTCTTCAAAATCGTGTCGTTTTTTGTTTTGTACATCGTGCGATGATACAACTAAAACATCACTAAGAAATTTAGTGTAGGGGTCTTTAAACCTGAAGTTTTGATTCACTTAATGCTAATTTAATATTAGCAAGCTTATAAATAAATGCGTATCGAAAAAGTAGGCTTTGGCCGGGATTCGAAACCCTGACCCAAGTGTCTCAAGGCGGGCTAGATTTGCAGGAAAAAATGTTAATGTGGAAAACAGTCCTGTTACCAATTGTATATGAGAAAAAAACATTAATCAGCAGAGGTTATTTATCTAGTTTTTAAAGTGCTTTGAAGTTTTGTAAATTAAGCGTATTTTGTGCGTAGGAACAATTCAAATCTTGAAGTCAAACACTAAACCAATAGAGAAGGACAAAAAGGAGCTTCGCAAAAGCTGCCACTCTTGTAAAGAAAACGAAAACAGTCCGAAGCCAACTTTTCTTGAAGTTTAAAATCTTTGACCTTTTTTCGATTAAAAAATAACCCAGTAACAAAAACCAGGATGAAAAAAAACTTATTCTCCTGCGAAATCAGAAAAAAAGTTAATTTGAAAAAATGATACAGGTCATTCACATTTGTGCACCAGATACTTTAAGATACCAGGGAGCCTAAAAAGCCATCCACTTAGCAAATTATTTTTAGTGAAATAAAAAAGGAAAGCAAAATCCAAACCGCTAAAATGGAACATTGAGCGCAAACTAAATTCAAGACTTTACCTGGGAAAATAACTAAGGAAAAATACCTGACTTGAACAAATGTCTTCAATTCTTTCATTGACACTTAAATAAACTGACAGATAACCGTTCAATTTTAGAAGTAAAAACTCACCAAAAAATTCTTCCAAAAGTTTTGATGCACTTAATGCTAATTTAATATTAGCAAGCTTTCTGGCAACGAATTTTTATTACAAAAACAATGTCCAAAATATAAAAAACACGCGGCAATTAAATCGAAGGCTCCTTAGCCCGACTTCGCAGACATCGCTTCTAAACTTTTCTAGAAACTTTCAAGTGAAAGCAAATTGCCAGGCTATTTCAGAAAAAAATCATGTTCTCCAGCATGGGTGGATATCACGGCATAGTTGGTTCCAGTAGCCGGCTTGATCAAACTCACTGATCGCATATGTAACACAGAGACCAGGCTGAGCTTCCCCACAGAGACATCACTGGCAATTCGTATAAAAAAATTCAACAGAGGTGAAGCGACGGTCTGCAATATTTGTGATACAGAGAAAGCATGGGATTGCAAGTTAGCAAATAGAAATTGAGAGAGAAAAAACCAAGTCAAAAGGTCAAAAAATATATACATTATATCAGCTGACATGGCGTAATTTTATAGCAAAGTGAAATTTTCTGTTTTTGAATGTCTCAAGAGGCGTATAGTGTAGAAAACTCAAACTTGATAGCTCAAAAAAACTTAATAGCGTTTTTTTTGTTTTCGTTTGAGTGGTCGTCTACGTGCTTATTGTCGTCCTAATTGTACGTTGATCAGCGGAACTAAATGCTGATTTACCTTTTGCAGATTTGCAGGCGATTGTGTTTTAGGACTGTTTTGATCCCGAAACTGACCGAAAGCATTTAGGCAAAAAAAACGAGAAGGAATGTGAGATAGTCCTATTTCGTAAACTTAAAGACTGGTTTAAGAGTGACTTTCAAATATTCTCCATTTAAATTCAGTCAACAAACGAAACTCCGACCATTTAGACTTCCCATGAAATTTCAATTAAATGCGTATCGAAAAAGTATGCTTCGGCCGGGATTCGAAACCCTGACCCAAGTATCTCAAGGCGGGCTAGATTTGCAGGAAAAAATGTTAATGAGGAAAACAGTCCAGTTACCAAATGTATATGAGAAAAAAACATTAATCAGCAGAGGTTATTTATCTAGTTTTTAAAGTGCTTTGAAGTTTTGTAAATTAAGCGTATTTTGTGCGTAGGAACAATTCAAATCTTGAAGTCAAACACTAAACCAATAGAGAAAGACAAAAAGGAGCTTCGCAAAAGCTGCCACTCTTGTAAAGAAAACGAAAATAGTCCGAAGCCAACTTTTCTTGAAGTTTAAAATCTTTGACCTTTTTTCGATTAAAAAATAACCCAGTAACAAAAACCAGGATGAAAAAAAATTTTTTCTCCTGCGAAATCAGAAAAAAAGTCAATTTGAAAAAATGATACAGGTCATTCACATTTGTGCACCAGATACTTTAAGATACCAGGGAGCCTAAAAAGCCATCCACTTAGCAAATTATTTTTAGTGAAATAAAAAAGGAAAGCAAAAGCCAAACCGCTAAAATGGAACATTGAGCGCAAACTAAATTCAAGACTTTACCTGGGAAAATAACTAAGGAAAAATACCTGACTTGAACATATGTCTTCAATTCTTTCATTGACACTTAAATAAACTGACAGATAACCGCTCAATTTTAGAAGTAAAAACTCACCAAAAAATTCTTCCAAAAGTTTTGATGCACTTAATGCTAATTTAATATTAGCAAGCTTTCTGGCAACGAATTTTGATTACAAAAACAATGTCCAAAATATAAAAAAACGCGGCAACTAAATCGAAGGCTCCTTAGCCCGACTTCGCAGACATCGTATCTAAACTTTTCTAGAAACTTTCAAGTGAAAGCAATTGCCCGGCTATTTCAGAAAAAAATCATGTTCTCCAGCATGGGTGGATATCACGGCATAGTTGGTTCCAGTAGCCGGCTTGATCAAACTCACTGATCGCATATGTAACACAGAGACCAGGCTGAGCTTCCCCACAGAGACATCACTGGCAATTCGTATAAAAAAATTCAAGAGGTGAAGCGACGCTCTGCAATATTTGTGATACAGAGAAAGCATGGGATTGCAAGTTAGCAAATAGAAATTGAGAGAGAAAAAACCAAGTCAAAAGGTCAAAAAATATATACATTATATCAGCTGACATGGCGTAATTTTATAGCAAAGTGAAATTTTCTGTTTTTGAATGTCTCAAGAGGCGTATAGTGTAGAAAACTCAAACTTGATAGCTCAAAAAAACTTAATAGCGTTTTTTGTTTTCGTTTGAGTGGTCGTCTACGTGCTTATTGTCGTCCTAATTGTACGTTGATGAGCGGAACTAAATGCTGATTTACCTTTTGCAGATTTACACATTTGCAGGCGATTGTG